GCTCGTGAACGATATTATCTGTATTTGACTATCAATGTATTTGTCTATCGACTCTGTCTTGTATGTTGTTTGGTTATGATTTGTTCGTAATTTATTATTGTTTATGTGTTAATTTGGATGGTGCGATCGAATTTCAAAGGCATCTATTTTTTGTAGTTTTCGTGAGTTTATCGTATCCTATTGTGGAAGTCGTATGTAATTGTGATCTGTTACTTTACTGTAAAGACGGTTTTCTTCGGTTCAAGTGTCTTCTAAGTGTTCAGTGGAATCTGGTGTTGTTGAATGTCCATTTGTTTCGTTTTGCTGGTGTCTATTCGGTTTGTTATTTCGTGTTTGTTTCATTGTTCACTTAATTGTCTTAATCGTTTCTTTGATTTTCGTCGGTCTGTTTTATAAAACTTATCGTATTAGTTAAGTGTTGTGTTGAGTTGATTATTTTATGGGATGGTGTAAATAAAATATTTGAGGAATTTTTGTGTGAAGAGTTTTGTGAAGACATTTGTTGAATGGTCTTCGACAACAATGAGAGTTTTTATTCTCCCATAATGTGATTACATTTCATAAGAGATTGGTAGTTAAATTAGATTCAATTGGATTGAATTTATTACGATACCAAGCGATTGGTTTTGTAAATGTGTGGTGATAATGAACTTAGGGATGATTTGGAAGAAATAGTATCATTTCTTTTTAAGTAATATCATTTTTTGATTGTTTTAATTGCTATCGTTGAAGGAAATATTATGTGTAACGAGCGAAAAAATTTGATATTCGGCCATGAGTTTAAGATCGGAATCGATTTTGAAGTGAATACTAATTGCAGTTTAGCACTTGGTTGGCAAACTTGTTGGTAAAAGAATTTGAACAATTGAAAGAGTTAACGAGAAGAAGGAGACGGATTCGAGGGTATGAGCGATACAGCGAAGGCTGCTGATGATGCAGCTACTGCGAGTGGGGAGCAAAAAACGTCCGAAAATTCAGATGAAGTTGAGAAAAATGTTAAGGTAATCGTTTGGGGGATTCATTTTTTAAGGGAATTCTATTGTTGTTCAATTTTCGAGCATAGAAATAACGATTGGTTTCTAATTGAAACAGCCTCAAAAGGGATCAGAGTCTCGATGAAGAGTATATATTCGAGGTTCGTTCGTAACATTTCGTAAAGCGATTGTAACGTTCGAATGAATCTAAACTAGAAAAATTTCAATAACATGCGTGTTTGCGTTGAGAATTTGAAGATTCGCAAGTACTTAAAACAACGATAAGACTTTTTAAATAAACAACTAAAGACCCTCAAATAGAAGAATCCAATATAGTAATTTTTAATGAATGAAATATAAAAATTTCAATTGAAAATGAGTGAAATATAGTAATTCTAAATAAACAACTGAAGATCCTTAAATAGTAGAATGGAATATGAATAGAGAATAGAATAGTAAAATCTCTAAAGTAAGGATCGAGGATGGATAAGTAACCGAATGGAAAAAGATATCACATGTATTGTACAAATGAATCCATAGAACAGATTAAAGAATGAATAAAATTTCTCGAATCATTCAGAATATTCAACGTTGTGTGGTAGATGCTGTGAAGAGTGCGAATTTATTACCGAAGCTATCGGAAGGCTACGAACTATTTGCATCGTTCCCGTTGTATGCACAGTTTATGAACGAACAAGAGAAGAGGGTTCTCAGTCTGTTCGTTGTTTAATCATTCATATTTTTATGTTTTGTGGAATTGTTTATGAGCGGTTGTCTTTTCCTCTATCAGAAATTGAATTCAGCAATTTTGGATTGAATTGAATTAACTCGATTTATTCAGATTTTCTTTAAAAAACGCCCAGTTGACAGTTTGAGTAAAGTTTTATCGTCTTCATTTTGAGTGATTTTAATTTTTTTTTTTCGCTTCCAGTAAAATTGCATAGTAATTTCAGTCTGCGGTCAGTAATGCGTCAAGCAGGATGTTCAATAAGATTACCGTCGAAAATAGTGGATATTGATGAATTGATTGATAGTATCGCTGAAGGGAACGATTCAATTGTTGAGAAAGTGGTCAGTGAATTTGGTTATTTTCTTTTTTTGAGAGGAAGAGAAGTTGGATTTTTTTTTTGTTAAGAAATTTTTATAAATGGATAAGAGAAGTTCTGCTTTATTAGCTGCGTAAATTCAGTTTCTCTGAGAATGAGATTAAGATTTGTTCATTCGTTTTGGGATCGATCCTTTGGATGAAGCAACTGATGAGAGAAATTTTCTAATCTGTGATTGATTGGAGCGAAGTAAAAGTTGCGCAAAAGAAAATGATTGTGCAAAATTTCAGGGTATCCTATTGGATCAACTCTCGAAAAATGCGAATGCTGAAAAACTTGTGGTTCCCGAACTGGCGATAGGCGCCGAGCATATACCCGATCTTGGCAGTGGAGTAGCGAACAGTAGTAACTTGTGGCAGCCAGGATCCGCCGGTCGTTACGCTGCCTTGTCGATCCGAGCTAAGGCTCTAAGCGCAGGTCGTCTGAATGAATCTTCGACGTCAGCAGCATCGACGCCCGGAACTCCTCCAAGCTTAGAAACAGTGTTCAGTACACCGTGCCTATCGGCTGCAAAGCGACGAATTATCAGATTGAGTTCACCGGTCAGTTATTTTCATTTATCAGTGATTGAGGTTACGTGCGATTCACAGTTTTCCGTATTCAAATTTTCTGTATTTTCCGTATCAGGCGATTTTCTTGTATTTAAATATTTTTCATATTTTTCGTATTTACATATTTTCCGTATTGAATACAAGTTAAAGAGACGATTCTGTCAATGTAATCGAATAGAGAGTATAATAGTTTTTGCAGAAAGTGCTTGTTAAGCCTCAATTGGCCTATTCAATACCCGTGGACAATAGCGACCGAGAGTTTGTGTCGAAACTGAAGCAAAAACACAACGCACGAAATACGGAACAGCCGGAAGAGCGTTTAAGGATTCGAGATGAACAGCAGGAAGGAGGGGATTGTAGTGGGCGATTGGAGTGGAACAGTGACCAACAGGAGACGGAGAATGAACATCCATATAAGAGCGAATTGGATGGTTTCGAGGTATTTGTTTGGTTGGTTGACGTTTGACGTGTTGAGAGAGGTTGTAATTCGAGAATTATGTATTGAAGATTTTAATTTTTTGAATCTGTTATCACGGAGGTAGCAATTTGCTTCTAAAATGAGATATTTATTGAAATTGAGGCTGAGTTATTTATTGAGTTATTTATTTTTTTAAATGAGTTCTTTTTAAATTAGGGTCCGCTTAATAAGTTATATTGATGATGGTGAGTATATCATTTTGAGGCCATTCTGTGAAGGTGATTTGAGAGCATATTCTATAAATTTGATTTTAAACATGATAATTGAAGTGCTCTTCTTAAAGATACCCGCGTCTCAGCTGCAGTTAGGTGAAAGACGTCAAGTTAAAGCACTTGAAGACACAGAATTAGTTATGGTTGATACGATTGAAAAGTTGGAGAAAGTGAGGGATGAACTGAATGCGAGCAGCGCATTTGCGGTCGATTTGGAGGTTAATTTTGCATTTTTGTGATTTTTCTTATTATTATTGTTACAGTTCTTTGTTGTTTGCATTACTTCATTTTTTATCATTATTTTTAATCGTTCCACAGTTCTTTGAAGAGTAATTGAGAAAATTAATTTGTTAGTGGGTTAATTTGTTTGAGTTCGTTGTAACGGTGGTTTTTGTTGAATCGTTGTAAGACGAGCGATTTCGATGAGAATCTTTTCATACGATGAAACTTTTCAGCATCACTCGTATCGCTCGTTTCAAGGTCTGACATGTCTTTTGCAAATTTCAACGTCGGCGAAAGATTATATCATTGATCCATTCCCAGTATGGAACGAAATGCACATTTTGAATGATCCGTTTACAAATCCAAACATTTTAAAGGTATATTGCGAATGTTTTTTCAGATTTTCAGTTGATTTAAGTGGCAAAAAGTAGTTATTATTTTAGAGTTTTTGCAGAGGTATTTATCAATTTGTATTGTGAAATATTTATATTTGCAAGGATCGTCTTTGTTGCAAATGGAAATTTGGTGAATTTTCTTCTGGGAATTATTAGCGAAATTGTTGAGGGATTTGTGATTTTTGATTAGTTTGGATGTTCGGAGCATTTTATTGAATTGGTGGCTGATGGAGGAACACCAATTTAATGTGATGTAGAAAACTTGTTTCGGTGTGAGAAAAATTTTTTGGATGTTGATTCAGATTCGTATGATGTGAATCGATGATTTAATTGTAGGTATTTCACGGCTCTGAACATGACGTTCGATGGCTGCAACGTGATTTCGGTATATACGTTGTGGGAATGTTTGATACGTACTGTGCGATGCACGTGCTTAGTTTTGAGAGATTCTCTTTGGCGCATTTGGTGCAGTCGATTTGTAATGTGGTACTGGATAAGGAATTGCAGAAAGCCGATTGGAGAGTGAGGTTGGTTGTATTTGAAAGCATTGAGTTGTTTTGATAGATCTGATCAAAATATATGACGCTTGATAGTTGATTGTGATTAGGTGCAGTTTTTTAAGATGTAATAGAGTAGGAAGAAAATTTAAGTTTTATGAGGTCGTTTTCTTACAGTCAAGAAGGAGAACGTTAAAAATTGTCTAGCATCTTCAGAAATATATTATGTCTGACTGTGAGATGAATTAGTGTGTGATGCTGACCACAAGGGAGCTGAAGAAATAAATTCACATCGAATCAACTGAAAATTTTTATAATGTGTAAAATTAGTGAAGTAATTTTTTAGTGATCATTTTGGAAAGGTATAGAGATAGACTCTGAACAGAATCAGTGGTTTATGATGCGGAGTTTTTGAGTTGAAAATGAGAAATATTTCAGACCATTGAGTGCAGCACATTTGGAGTATGCACGTAGTGATACGCATTACTTATTGCATTGTTACGATGTGCTGAGACAACAGTTGATCAATCGAGGAAATGAGACGAAGAATTTGTTGCGAACAACATATAATGAATCTGTATTGTTGTGTCGTAATGTGAGTATAATTTTATTTTGTTGTTAGTGTTTATTTATATATTCTTTGATTATTTTGAGTGGTGATGTTTTGGTTATATTTTCATTTTGTTAAGTTTCGATTGATCAGATGATAGCGATCGATTATCGATTATCCAGGTAGTCTGCTAGAGGTTTTGATTTTGGATTTAGACTGAAGAAGTTGGAGAACTGAGAAAAATTTGGATTTAGGCCGAAAAAAATTAGAGTTGAATTAAAAATGGATCACTTTTAAAGGTATACGAGAAACCGAAGTTCGACGCGGAAGGTTACGAAGTATTATTGAGAGGACGAAAATCGTTCAATTCACGTCAGCTGTATGCACTGCGAGAACTGTGGAAATGGCGTGATGAGCGAGCGAGAGCAGAAGACGAGAGCTTGGAATACGTGCTGCCAAATTATAATTTACTTCAAATTGCTGAGGTTTTTTGTTTGTTTTACTTTGAACTTTTTTGTGTACTCCGAATAGTTGTGAAGGGGAATTTTCATAAAATTGAAGAGAAATTTGACGATATGCGATGTTTTTTTTGTGGAATAAAGGTGGTGATTTTTTCGTTTTGGACAAGAGTCGATGGAAAGAAGGCATCTCTAGATATGGACGATTGTTAGAGTGTGTGAGAGATTTGATTGTGGTTGAGAGGTTTTGAATCAAAGGAATTGTCGAATTTTAGGTTCTGCCACGTGAAGCGCAGGGAATTCTGGCCTGTTGCAGTCCGATTCCACCACTCGTAAAGCAAGAACTGATCACTCTGCATCGTATCGTCTATGCGGCTCGAGATCGCCCTCTGGAATTGAGGCCAACTTTGAATCTGAATCAAGCCACGTTGACGTTTGAATCGTTTGAAACGCAACGTTCAAAAATGACCAAACAGAAAGCGATTTTGAGGTGAGCATAGTGGTTCATTGATTGTAGAGTGTTTTGTGTTAATTTGTATTAGAATTGGAATTTGTTTCGGATTTGTCGTGTCCTATTGTATTTCCACTTTTGTGGATAGATCGAAGCTGTCGACGTTAGGAACGTTAGTATTGTGTAATATGGAATGTTTTCCGTATCTTTAATCATCTTTGCGGATGCAGTTGATTCTGAGAGGGCTTTATAACGTGCGAGTTATTAATTTTCTTATCAAACTGATGAACAATTTCCTCATTGTTTTGATTTTCTTGATAGATTTTGATCGTTTACAGATCACATTTGGACTTTTCGATGACAAAGTTCGATGAAGAGATCAGTACATCGCGTTCGATTGATGTGAACGCTGAAGAACTCAGCAAACTGATCAGTTTGAAGAAAAGTGCCGAATTGTCTTTAGCCGATTGTCAACTACCTGCAACGATGTCGACTGATTTGCAAAAAATGGTTGTTGATGAGAATAAGGAAAAAGGAGAGGAAGCGAGTGATCATCGCGGTGAGGAGGAAGTTTGTGCCGATAAAAGCGTTTATAAGATCGGTCCAGAAGTGGAGTTGGAGAATGAGAAGCGAGAACAACTTCGGGAAGAGTTGTCACAATGGGCGACTCCGTATGAGTGTTTTGTGATTGCGGTGAAGGAACGACAAACGCGAGAAACTGAGGCAAGCAGTTTGGAAAGTTCTTTTTAGTTATTTACTTTGAATGATATCTAAGATATCTAATCGTAAGATAAAATTGAAAATGTTCTGCTAAATTCAAACATATCAGATACATAGGATTTGAAAATTCAAATGATTGAACGTATGACACATTTGTATTAGCACTTTCATGCATTCGAATTTTTGAGTGAGCGTGTTTGAAGGAGAAGGCGAAGGCAGATGCTCAAAAGAACGCAAAATCAGGCGATTCTGTGGAGAAGAATGGTACAGGTGAAGAAGGAGGAGAAGGAGAGAAGAAATTGTGGTCACATCTTGATCCTGCATCTGAAAGACCTGTATTCTTGGAGAAGAAGGTTAGCACTTTTAAGGTGGAATTGAATAGTGGATGAAAATGGGTTTTGTTTTTCAAAAATATTTCATGAAAGTTGTGAAAATGGGTAAATTAATTTTAATATCGTGTTTGATAGAGTATCGTTTAAAAGAGATGATGTTTTGAATGTTTGGAGTAGAATGATTTTGGCATTCTGCAGGAAGACATATCAGCGAGTGAAATGAGAGCAAAACGACAACAAGAAGCGGAGGCTGCCATAGGAATGACTGAAGAAATGACTCTGACCAAGAAAGCACTGAAAAGGAAACACAAATTTGTTAGTACTACTGAAGTGTTCGTTAGCGTTTATCTTTATCCAGTTCAGTGATATAGAGATTCAGTGGTCATCTGAAATCGGAAGTATAAAATCTCTGCCGATGTAATCGAGCTGATTCGATCGAGTATTTATTATTATCGCCTTTTGATTCCGTTTGAAACTGATTGAAGTTTTTCTTGATAAA